TTCCTTGGCTCTGGTTGTTGGTGCATATATCTGAATGATAGTGGTATTCACTGGCCTTCCTTGTATGCGTATGGATATTTTCCTGTTACTCACAATATTGTACTTGGAGATGGATCTACCAATGGCTTTCATAACTATGAAAGCAACTCCATTTTTCCTCACCTTTTCATCTCTAGAGTAACATATCATATGATCATCTGACTCAGAATGCCCCATGCCAGTCCACGTCATCTCCCCAATCCCTAATATGTCAATATTTATGCATTCCATTTCTTCCTTAACAATATCTAATTTTGACATCAGGTAGTGTAAGAAATTTTAATTAAGTTTTTATAGAAGAATCCTGATCAAAAGAATAAAAATGCAAAACAAAATTTCAAAATCTCATTAAATTCAAAGTTTTCTAGAATCATGGAAGCTGGATTAACCCCTGAAAATACTACAATGAGATAACAACTCAAGTCTTATATAAAGTCTTATTAACTAGTTTAACTAGGAAACAATGAGCATCTTAAGTGTGCTCTTCTCAGGTCTACCTATATGAGTTCTAATTGACAAGAGTCACCTCAATTATTAGACGGTAAATTTAGGAGGCAGTGAGTTTATACTAATCAGGATGAAAAGTTTGGAAAGGAGATTGTAAATAGTTTTATTACTTGGAGAACAAAATCAATATTATTGAGTTGAACATGTAGAAATCATTTCATTGATGTTTTTCTGTATATAATCTCAAACCCAAAAAAAAATCAAAATGACTCTGTGATTTCACTTGCCATCTCACCAAGTTTCAATTGAGCAGCTACAGCAAGAAAAAATTTCTCCAAGTGGGCATCCTTCTGGGTGAGATATTATTGTGTCAGTCAGATGTGATCTAGTAGAATAGTAGATGTAGAATAGTAGCAGTAGCGGAGGAGTACCAAAAGTTTTTACCACAATATAAAATAAACTTCTGAAAGTACTGGTACACAATAACCTTTAAATTTTCAGCCAGAAATACCCTGTGAAGTCCTATTAAAATAAAATTCATTTACTTTAGCCACAGTTTCAGAGAGGCCTTGTATAAACAAAATAATGAATGAGATAGTTACAGATCCCAGTAAGCAGAGGAATGGGAGAAGTACTAGGTCTCTCAGGAAACAAAAATGAAGAAAACAATAATCACAATATAACAAAGATATGATAAGCAATATGAAAGTATGTTATTACATGAAATTAAGTAAGTATGTATATTACCTAGTAAAAGTAGCAGTTCCTAGAGTTGATTTAGATCATAAAAACTTACATATTGTTACATTAATTCTTTTATTTGAATTAAAGTGGGACTAAACTCACTGTCATCTAGTGGATGCCAACTCATAGTCAACATTCATCTTATAGAAGGGGACTGCCTCCTCTTTCTCCCTTGGAATAACTGGTATCTGTGAGCAGTCCAGCAAGACGTCAAACTCTGCACTACTAGAGCTCCTTTCAAGTGGGGAAATTTCTTTAAAACAAATAGAAAATCCATATTAAAGCAAAAGAAGTTATTAATGAAAAGTAATTTTATGTTAATTCTATTGATAATGCCATTATATTTGGTCTTCTTTTTAGTTTAACATCTCCTTTTGAGTTCCTCACTAACTTGAAGTTCTAATTTCTGGTTGTGTTAATGTTTACTTCTGAGTCATCTGTAATCATGTGCTAGCCACACACTGTTTTACATGAAATCTCATTGAACAGGATAGATAATCAATGCACTCTCTGGCAGAGATTCAGGAAAGTCTCAAAGAATAACTTATTGAGAGGAATATAAACAACCTTTTCCTAGCTTGCTAGCTTCCTCTGAATGCAGAAAAGAAAGCGGTGGAGGAAACATATAGGACCAAGGAACACTAACGAAGCACATGCTCCAGGAAAATTAAATGGCCAGCAGAAGTTCATCCGGGATTTCTACTTCCTGTTTTAAAGGTTTTAAGAGCCTGTAGACCAAGAGGCATGTAAAACAGGCAACATTCTTGGGCTTTTCTTTTTTTGTATAA